TTCCTGCTGTAGCCTTCCTGTTTATTTCTTAATGAACAGAATAAATTCTATCACTTTGAGGTTTCTTGAACACTGTTGTAAGAAAAAAAGTTAGGGTTTTTTTAAACTGTTCCTTTCAGAAGGTGAGCTCTGGTTCTGTTAGCAAAGGCCTTGCAATGAGCAGCCTGCGCTCTGCCACTGTGATCCCTGGCAGCCTGGCCCCGTTGAGTCCTGTCTGTGCTGCTGCTGCTTCCCAAATCATGGGTGAATCCTGACTGGGTGCAAACCGCCCCACGCCAGCCTTCCTTGGCCGCCTTGGACTCATGTCGAGCAGCTGCCTGTGTTTTTAAGTCTCGCTGGTATGAAAGTTGTGTGTGGCCGTGTGGTCCATGGTGTTGGTACCAGCAAAGAGGGTGAACATGAGCAGGTTTTTGGCAGCCCCTGCTTCGGTTTGCTGCAGCTAGGGGAGAGCTGCACCGTCCAGCTACACAAACACATGGTGCTGGTTTGTTGAATGAGCTGCAAATAGTTCACAGCTGATCTCGGCTGGTCTCATAGCTGACCCTGCTTTGAGCAGGAGGTTGGACATAGATGACGTCCACCAGCCACGTCCAACTTGGGTTTCTCTGGTTCTGTGAAACTTTGGAGCTGTGCCTGTATATTGGATACCAAATATCCATCTTACAGTGGTGAAAATAATGTGAAAAATCTTTAAGATATTTTTCTGTGGTTTCTAAAGAGCCTATAATTTATTTCTAGTTTGCTGTAAAATTACTCATCTCCATCTTGCTGTATTTTTTTTTTACTTCCTTAGTCAAAGTACTACGGCCAGACGTTATTGACAGAAGTTTACAAGCATCTGAATTTGATTGAATCTGACTACTTTGGGATCGAATTCCAGAACCTCCAGTCATATTGGGTATGTGCAGTTCCCTGACCAGTTTGTACGATAAAAACGTTGCGTGAATGCAGTTACTTGAGTGTCAAAAGTTTCAAAGTCTGCTGGAGTCCTCTGTGGGATTCTCTCTTTATTCTTGTAAATCTGCTTCACTTAGCAGAATGACAACAACCAATAAAGTGAGGGGAGGAACCAGATTCTGTTTCTTGTTAAATCTCAAAAAATGTGTAAAGCAGTTAAATGGTTGGTGATGTTCCCACTTTCAGGGACATAAATAAAATCCTCCTTCTCTTTGAAAGGGGGAACATCAACTCAAAGTGTACTCTGTGTGAAATCTTGTTACAATGTATAATTTTGGTAGTGTTCACATTTCTCTTGGGTTAATTCAGTCTTCAGTTGATTTCCCTGAAGAGTTGTTATGAACCTCTTTTTAATAAATATAAACCTGAAAGCTTTTTAAATAATTGATCTAGATAAATACTGACACTCTTTAAATCTCCTAGTTGCTTATTCTGTCTTGCAAAGAGGACAATGTGGCTTCTAAACTAGAAAAAGTTCCCAAACCCGTGTTTTCATTAGTTTTTTCTGATACTTTTTCTAGCTTTAGGCCTCACACTATAAAGTATGACTGAGAACACTGAGAATGCGCGTAGCATGAATACACCCTGCTCTAGGGCCAAGGAAATACAGCAAAGCTGGTTTGGTTTCTGTTTCTTCTGCAAAGCGTCCAGAGTGTTTCTGCATCTAATGAGGTCCTTAAAATCCCCGGCTCTCTCTCAGACCAGGAGTAACTAGGAAGAGCCAAACATAATTGTCTTGTTACAATGTTTTTGTTTGGAGAGGTGGGGTTGAGCATCTGGAATATTTTGGGTTACTTTTATGGACACTCCTTTTACTAGACCAGCAGGAGTATTTCTTTAAAAATGTGCTTGTCAAAAGAGAAAAAAAATGTGGGAAATCACTATCAAGTAAAAGTCCTCCTGTAGAGAGAGATGGACAAAACATGGAGGGGAAAAGAAGTTGGACCTTGTCATGTTCTCCAGAGCTGCTGTAGTTCTGTAGCCTGGCTCCTGTCTGTGCTGTGGGTTTTGACAGGATTTCTGTCGTCTTGGCAGTGGTGCTGGGCTTTTGCTGACCAGGCTCTTCTGTCCAGATAAGCTTTAAGCATGGATCAGTGATTTTTCTATTGATGCATGATAAATGTCAGTTCAAATAGATAAGTGCATTTTTTTAAAGCAAAGGAATTGTTGTATTACTGCAGTGAGGAAGAAGGGCAGACTCATAAACTAGTGCTTTATTTGAATCTACTTTTGATGTTTTCATGTGGTATTCAAATATGGATGTCAGTTTGTAATTTTTTTTCTTTAATTTCAGATTTGGCTGGAACCTATGAAACCTGTTATTAAACAAGTACGGAGTAAGTAGTTTTTAAAAAAGGAAGTTTTCCTTAATTTACATATGTTTTATGTGAGTTGCTTTCACAATTACTACTTGATTTACTGGTTATGCTTCCCTGAAAATTGTACTTGGCGTAGGGGTGATAGCAGTGCCTGTTCGGGCATGCAAACCTGATGTTTTTAATATGTCGTATGCGGTGGGTGGAATGGAAACTTAGTAAAGGGATGATTCTTTCTCTGTGATAATTGTCTAGATAGATTGGGTCAGCTGGTGTCATGGTTAAGTGAAACACGACATCTGCTGTTTGTGAGCACTTGTACGTTGGGTCTTATGGTAGAAAAAAAAAGGAATTTTCTGCTTCTTGCACCCATGGCATGGGAGGAGGTGGCATCTGCAGTGGTGAGAGCCCATGAGAGCTGATGCACCTTGCGGGAGGGCTGCAAAAAGCTGCACTCGGAGCTCACTGACAGGCAGGGAATTTCGGTGGGGTGGGTATTCCCATCTCATTCTCAACAACTCCCTCCAATGTGCTCAGGAGCAGCTTCCCAGGAGAGCAGAGGTAGGGATCTCACAGGGGCCGAGCAGCTGCAGCTTCAGAGTCCTCCTCGCTTCGGTTGGGAAATTCGTTTCTGCTCTTTGGCCAGGAGGCTATTGCAATAGTGATGCTGTCTTTGCTTTGTGCTGTTCTGAAAAGTAACGTGAGATGCACTCAAAAGGCTAAAAATAATTGAAGAATACAGTATGCACGTTCTTCTGATGTTGAAAGATTAAATCACACCTTTTTTTTCTTGGAACAGGGTTAAGCTGTTTACTTATTTTCAGTTTCTGGTTGTAAAGGTTTTGTGGAAGAGCAGGATCAGGAGGGTGTGGTGGATTTCTTCTCCTTTCAAAATCTTAATTGAAAGATGTTGAAAATTAGTATTGGGAGGTAGTTTGTAGTTACTCTTCTGCCTAAAACTGATTGCCAGAAAATAAGACATTGTCAGTTTTAGCCAGAGTTTTTAACTTTCAGGTCATGGTTTTAACTTTTACCGACACTGGCTGGTAATTGTTGGAGTGCCATCTGTTTATATAAGTTGTTGGGTTGCCATCTCTTTATATACTCCCTGCAGTTAGGCTTCTTTTGTTTTTCCAGTGCTCCTGGCTGGAGGGAATTATGTCTTAGTCAGTGATCTGGTGGACCACACGTCTGCGATGCCTCTTGGTTTCTCCTCCTGTGTCCTCTTCTGTAGCACATAAATTGGGGTAACTTGGTCTTAGACCCTAGACTGATGGCTGTGTTCCCTGATGGTGCGCTTATTGTTCTCAAATGGTCTAAAACCATGGGGATGTGTGAAAATTTGTGGCTGTTCTGCTGTTTGGTTGTCTACCACCCATGTTTTGTTGCCAGTGACACTGAAAGACTTCTTTTATATTTTTTTAAATGTTAACCTGTGGGAGACACCAGTCAGTTGTCTGGTGCATGTTCAAGTTCTGAAATGTCAAATTTGTAAGTTTTGTTAGCTCAGGTGAGAGCTCTTTTTTTCCTTTTTATGCTAGTTGTATCCCTTCTGGCATGCTGCTCTGTTTAAAATTGAAATGAGACAGGACTGTAGAAAGCCTTGAAAACACTTGCAGTTAAAAAGTTAATTGCATGTATAGTAATTGAAGCTCTTCGTTCATTGAATCTGGTAGCTGAGGTGCGATTGCACAGGAGCATCTTCCTAAGGACTCATTTGCCAGCGCTCCTGGATACAAAGTCTTAAGAGGAGAATTAATGCAATTACTTGACCTTGTGTAAGTTTTGGAATTAAGGGACTGAGGAAGCTGCAGGAATGGGAGGGTGTTTCCATCTGCCCACGCAGCTGGGCAAGGGCAGCCACATCCACCGTGGCTTCAGCCTTGGTGCTCTCTGGCCACACCGGGGCTGCCCTTCTATGCAACAGCTTTGTGTTGTATGAAAAAGATTTTATTTTTTATAATTTTTATATAAATGCAGTCAGTTTTACTACTGAACCACTCCAGAAGGTGGGGAGTTTAGATCCAAATTGGTTTGGCTTCTTGCAATAAGTTCTGCGTCTTGGTTTAGACTGGCCCAGTGTTTCTTTTCCTAATTAGAATGGGACTTATTCATGGAGGAGAAGCGAGGTTTAAAAAAAAATAGAAAAGGGGTTGTGCTACAGAAGGAAACATGCAGCATTATTTTTTAAATTTTCAATACTTATTATAATTTAATGTAAGTTATGCTCAGAACACCGCCAGAGTTGCTCCGGCAGCAATACTTTCCAGTTGACTGGTGTCAGTAAGGTGCAGGCCTGTTCTTACCCTTGTGAGGGTATTCCAAAGGCTTGGAGTATTTTGCAAAATTTGATGTAAAGTTTTATTTTCCTCATCTGATTCATCTCAAGAACTATAAAATCCTCAGTATGGTTTCAGTCTCTGCCAAGCGTGAGCTTTGTGTATCATTATAGGGTCTTATTTCCAGCCTCCTTTCATTTCTAGATCTTACACTGTAATTAGGATGAGGATTTTAGTGTTTTTTCTTCACCAAAGCTTTGGTAATTCTGGATTCAGAGGCTGGGAGCTGCATTTCTGACAGCTGTGACAGTCTGAGTTTGTTCTCCCAGGTACTTGGCAGAAAGCAAAGTTTGTTATTCCCTCGTTAGCAGACGAGAGGGTGGGTGAGCGGAGGAATGTTTGGCCTGTGGGAATCAGGTGCCAGTGTACTTTGGGGCTGATGGGGTTAAGTTGGTCTTTGTCAAAGTTTATGAGAACTTGATGCTTAAAATAAGTTAAAGCAGGCTGGTTTGTGCTTACGAAATTTTCTTGAGCACATTTGGTTATTTTATTTTAATTTGGCTAAGCTTGCTCTGAAGTGGCAGCAGCACACAGTGTCCCGAGGTGGCTGAGGCTGGATGGCACCTCTGGAGGCCACACGTAAGCAGGGCTGGCTTTGGTGTTCAGTTGGGTCATGAAATATTTGGATATCCTGCCCATAGCACATGGAGGAGTCTGGCAAGAAGAGGGGTGGCAGTTTTGCCCTTCCCAGGCCTTCCTCTGCCTTTTAGAGGGGCTCCATCTTTCTTTTGTCCTGCCTTCCTCTGGCCTGTGATGGTCGAGTGGTGGGGCTGTGGTGGAGGAGCGGTGCTTCTCTTGTCCGGGGGATGCCTGCAGTTGTGAGGTGAATGCTCAGAAGGTGCCTGCAAAATACTCAGCTTTGTCTGCTTGAAGAGCAGGCAAACGAGCAGCAGAATGGTGGTGCCCAGTTGTGGGATGGCAAGCGGCTGTGGTACCATGTAATATTCCTCCAAAAATACTGGTTAAGTGGGGGATTGCACACGTTGAGTCGGGCAGTTCAGCAGGCTGACACTGAAGCTGTTAACACGGTCAAGTCTCAGCTGGGTTTTCTTCTTGTGAAATGTTGTGCAGAGCATTGTGGAGTATTCCAGATAGTTACTTAGGATTCTGTTCGGATTTAAATGTTAAATTAGTTGTCTCCCTGTCATTGAGATGGACAAGAACGGTGCTAAAAATGGGAATAAATGGATATTAATGGGCATGTTGCAAACATGCTTTTATCTCCACAGGGAGCCAGTTGGGTCCACCCAGACTCATGGATTCAGTTCATGGATGGGTCTGGTGGTGGCTGGTGTTGGGATGTGCCTGCACCCTCCTCCCCTGCTGGGAACCTCTTGCTGGGTCACCTGTGATGCCTTTGTGTGCAGCCAAGTAGTTGCTTTGGGGTTGCTTTCACGTTGCTTTAAACTACAGCGTTCAGACTCCAGGCTTGCATTGGAAGTAGTACAGATAAGTTCCTCTGAAAACTCCCTGCTGTATCTCTGCTGAGATGGTCAATCCACACCCTGCAGGCCCACTGTAGTTAGCTGGCAAGCCGAAAGCTGGCTCGACTTCGTGTGCGTGTGTTGGAAACCATAATGTGCATGTGCTTATGAAGAGCAAGAGTTTTTTGTGAAATGCCTGACTTTTCTTATAGGACCAAAGACTACAATGCTTCGTCTAGCTGTAAAGTTTTTCCCTCCAGACCCGGGTCAGTTGCAAGAGGAATACACCAGGTAAAGTATTTTTTGAGGAATTTGGTTTGCATTACCTACTGATATAAAGGGAAGGTAAGAGGAGGAGGTTGCATCAGTTTCCAAACAAAACTGACACTGAAGATGAGCAAAAGAGCACTTTTTGGTACTGTCACCGTTTTAGCAGATTCATGAGTGTTTAGCAGATGTGTTAGTGGAAAAAATACTTTACAAAACAGAAAACAGCACAGGTTAGGGCTTGTCACACATCACAGTGTCAAAAGAGACGGGGTGTGGAGGGAATATTCGTATTTATAAACAGTACCTAGAAAATAATCAGTATGTATTTTACTAAGTTATTTATCATTTACACTTCTAAGTCCGTGTTTTAAGTATTCTACAACTAGCAAACACCCTTTCCTGGTCACATTTTTCACTGATGCTCACCATGGGTTGCTTTTGCTGATCGCTAACTGAGCTCTGGTAGATAAAGCGGATCTGTCCACTTGCTCGCACCTGGGAACGTGGTTTGAAGACTATGCCTGTAACAAGGACATCACCCAGGATTTTATTGTCTAAGGAGCTTATTTAGTGCTTTTTCCAGTTTTACTATTTTTAATTGGAATTCCCTATGGAGGTCCATAGAGGTTCTTTATTATCCCTCAGGCTTATTTTAGAGCAAATGAGCATGGTAGCTGCTGTGATACAATGTGATTGTCTCTTGTGATGATAATTAGTATCTAAATATTTCCTTTGCTTCCAATTTTCATATGTTAATTACTGTTTCTTGTGCAAATTTCATTAGGAATACAGCTTTTTTTTTGAGCAGGAACTGTATTTTTTTCTATTTATGGAGTATTTATTGTGGAGTTCTGGTCTGTGCTTAGGTGTTTCTCAATGCTGTTAATGATATGTCCACTTCATTGTGGGTGTATTGAAGAAAATAAGGTAGCTCAGTCAGATATGCAGAAAACAGAACATACTTTAGAGAAGTAATTATAGAAGTAATACTTAAAACATACTTCCAGTACTTTAAAATTAAAAAAAAAACACCCCACATTCAAAATTAAAAAACCTTTTATTATCTTTTTGCCTCAAGAATGTGATACATGATGTTTTAAAATTAGTTCTTTAAAAAAAAATCCTGTTCCCTTTCAGGGTGTAATTCAGTAATGAATATCAGTCAGTTTGTCAGTTCAAAGGTTTATTTGTAGTAATGAGTTGTTGCCTGTTTACTGGAGTCCTTATTGCACCTTCTTTTAAGTAAAAAGGAAAGCACAAAAGACTTGCCAGCATTAGATTCAGAAAAATATGTTAAAATTGGTTTAGGTTACCAAGTTGATCCTTACCAGCACACTTTAAGGGCTGCCACATTTTTCTTCTATTCTTGTGTGTTTTGCAGGCAGCTTAACAAAACTGTTAAACAGAAATCTGTTCCTCTTGAACAGCTGATTTGGGAAATACTTTAGTTAAATGAGTGTAGTGGTATAAGAAAAGGAAATTTAATTTCTTACTGTCTCTGTGGGCTGCTAACATTACAGTCCTGGAAAATACAACCACTGAGTAAATTAATTGAGTGCTTGCAGAAATGCTCATTATTTTTCCTAACAAGATAGTGGAATCGGTGATGTTGTCTCATCCTTGTTCTAATACATGAAATCACTTGAACTGTTCATTAAGTTTCTTTTCAGCTCAAAATTACAGCTGCTGTTACTTCACAAATCAAACTTCTTAAAAGCGTGGGTTCCTTCTGCTTCCTTGTTCCATGCACTGGATTAGTCACAGGTTGTTTGGCTTGATTTGACCATCCTTGGTAGCAAGACTTCTGTGTTATCTTGGTTCTGGAGACAGAAGAATTAAGAGATGCTGGTTTTACAAAACTCTCCTCAGTTTGATCGTTCTGTCACGTGTTAAGGTGGTAATTGTAACTCCAGTGCTTCTAACTCTCCCAGGTACCTTTTTGCGCTGCAAATCAAGAGAGACTTGGCCGAGGAGCGGCTGACCTGCAGCGACAACACAGCCGCGCTCCTGGTCTCTCACCTCCTGCAGTGTGAGTATCTCGGCTGCGGGGCCGTCGGGCGATGTTGCCATTGCTAACCCACATTAAATAGCGTGCAGCAGCTTTTGGTAACCAGAAGCGTTTTCTGTCTGGCAGTGTTTCCTTCTGCACATGCAGTGAACCCCATAGATTTTGAACACTGGGGTTATCATCAGGGCTAGGTGTGGTGAGGGACAGCTAGTGCCCGTGTACCAGGTAGCTTTGGCTTCGTGGAGGCTGTCTGAAACCAACCCAAAACCAATATTTCTTGCTTTCCCTGTGGCTGGGGGAAGATAAATGTATAGAGACTGGACTGAAATCAAACCCGAAACGTGCCAGAACGTGGCCAACAGTGGAGTCAGCAGCTTCCTCCTCACTTGGGAGTGCAACTGTAGATAGGAAGCAGTTGATTTGGAAGCTCTCCATGTTGCTGCTCACTCAGTCTGTAAGCACCTAAAGACCTAAAAACACAGCCTTTATGATGAGCAGGTTGGAAAATTTGACTGGGTTCAGCCACCAAATCAGTTCAGTAGCATCCAAGTGCTGTTGTGCTTCCTTACCTGCAACCGGAGCTGCAGAAATGGATTCCTGTGCCTCCTTCCTGGCTTCAAACAGAAGCTGTTAAACGATACCTCTTCACACATGCACTGATCAATAGTTATTAGCTATAGAATTCTGCACTGTCTTATGATAATACAATTATAATAGTATTAGTTATGGGGATTTTATTGGAAGAGCAAATCTGTCTCGTGTGTGTGCTGTCAGTGAGTGACACAATTAAAATTTGCTCCTGATTTGCCAGTGTAAGAAAATTAGAAGTGAGAAAAAATATGATTGTTTTTAACATAAATTACTTGACAAAAGTGCCTTTCAATTTTTGTTGTTGTTGTTTCATATGCTGGCTTGATTTTAAGCAGGATATTGCTGTGTTCTTTTACAAACCAGCTGCCTTGGATGAGATTATGAGTTCGCTGAGGCCACTCTGACAGCAGTTGATGGCAGATGCCCTCAGTGAGCATATGGTGATGCTTCCTCTGCTGTGGCCTTTCCCAGTCAAAGATTGACTCGGCATCTCTTTGTTTAGTTGTCTTTGGTGAACTTTGCTTCCATGCGTTTGTCACACTTTTGGATCTGCTTATATTTTTGGCATCCTTCCATGAAAATGAGCTTTACAGCTTAGTGTTTGGGAGGTTTGGACGATAACTTACATCCTTTTGTCTTTTTAAAACTTTTACATTTTAATTTAACACTGTGAATTCATGTTTTATTATCAGAAAAAGTAAATAACTTAAAAAAATGATTTATTCAACTTTTAGTTTTTATATATATCTGCCATATATGTCTTGCCTGCTTCATGCTTTGCTTTTCCAAGCCAAAGACTTGTGGTCTTTTAATGCTTTATCAGATGGAAACTGTTCCACACATTTGATTAATGCTTTTTTCTTCTGTAAATCTCTTCCTGAGTACCCAGAGTCATTTCTGAAAGGCGTGGATATGTGAAAGGGAGACCAAAACTCAAGATGTAGGCACTGTGGGGATTTGAAGTCACATAACGCTGCTTTCTCTTCTTGCTATACATTTATTTTTGGACAATTCCTAAAATGTAATTTGCTCTCTTCCCAAGTGGGCTTGTCCATAACTATTTTATGTATCTTTAGAAAAAATAAATTGAAATACACTGGTTTGGTATGAGCTATCTGTAAGGAAGAAATGCTTAGACCCCCTCATGAGTCTTCTGCACATCTCCTGCCTATGACTGTAAAGAAGTAATTTTCCAGACAGTGTTCAAAGACTGCGGTAATCCCCAAGAAGGCTGCTTGGGATAACTATGAGTGTTTTGTAAAATGGAGCTGAATACAAAGCATAACGCCCAAATTTGAAGCATGTAGAGGAAAATACATCCCAGCTCTTGGGGGTCTCTGTAATTCCTTAGCAAGTATTTTCTGTCATTGATGCTTTTCCATTGTTTCTTGTTACTCTAACATTGTTTTGTTTTCTGCAATAGCCGAAATAGGGGATTTTGATGAATCGGAGGATCGAGAACACCTTAAAACAAACCAGTATTTGCCAAACCAGGAAAGAATTGAGGGGAAGATTCTGGAGTTCCACAGGAAGCACGTGTAAGTGAGGCTTAATGTGTACCCCTGAGGTGTACCCCTGGGGAGCAGATGGACTTGCTTTGCTGGAGGTTGAGCATGCTGCACGGTTGGATGGTGTTAAGATTGTATAAGTGAAGCACCATTTCTGTCGACTTGCTTTGCTGGAGGTTGAGCATGCTGCATGGTTGGATGGTGTTAAGATTGTGTAAGTTAAGCACCATTTCTGTTTAACAAGAAAAGCTGGATGGAGCAATAGTTACAGAATTAGGACAGAGTTGCTGGGCAGTAGTTTATCTCAGTGATTTTTCAGTGTACCTTTAATAATGTACCAAAGAAAGTGATCATGAGCTTTTAATAGCAGTTTCAGATTTTCCAGTCTACGAAGTCTTTTAAGTTCAGTTTGCCATCAAATGCATAGGTCTTGCTTTTGTCTAAATAATTAGAAATCAATTGCATTGTACTCATTCTGTACTCATTAAGCATAAAGGAGATGAGAAGGATGACGAAGTGGGGGAGAAATAACTTTCATCAGAATTTATGCAATACTTTATATTACAGCTGGCGTATTTTTAAATAAGTAAAGTTTATTAGGGGCAAAGAAACTGTTTGCCACAAATACAAAATGAATTCCGACACGCAGTCAGGAACTGCAGAAACAAATGCTTTATTATTTGAAATACCCACTTCTTCCACCGTATGCATTCCATGTACAGTAAGGCCATGTATTTTACCATCTAATCTGGCTGGTATTAAATTGGGAAGATTATGCTGGGTATGCAGTGTAAAATATTTAAGTGAGAAGATTTGGAGCAGAGAGTTGATGTGGTGCTCATGAAAGGGAAGTCAGCCTACAGGGAGGCTCTGCTGTGACCAAGGGTTTGCGTTGCGTGGTCCACATTTGCTGTAGCTTCGGTCTTTCAGGCTTTTAAGCACACCAGGCTGATATCGCAGAAATGGCAGATGCTGTAATGGTCCTGACCTCACCTGTGCAGTTCTCAGAGTCGGCAGATTGAATCGAGAGAAGGTGTTTGGTAAAACGGTGATAAAGGTTTGATTTCACCCAACAGGTCTCTTTTCTGTTTCAGGATTTAGCAGTTTGAAGTGCTTTGATTAGCTGTGAATATCCACACGCATGGTTTATTGTGCATGGTTATACATTATAATCCAAATACTGTATTACAAATTTAAATTTTCCTTTTGCTGAGTGAGGGTAAACTAAGGGATAGTTGCTGACTGACTTTCTTTAAGACAGATTTTTCAGGGCTGTGTTTAAGGCTAAGGCACATCCTATATTATTAGAAAATTTGTTGCTGAGAATTTAAATAATTAACTATTTGCTTTTTATGATCACTCATTTTCAGTTGTACTGATGGAATTTCAGCTGTGTTGATTCTTGATTAAATCAAATGTTTGTTACTTTTTTCTGCTTTTGGACCTTTGAGGTACACGTGAAAATGGTGAAGGAACAAACTATATGTTGTTTTGAAGTTATTTGAAATAACTTTGAAGTAAATTAAAATACATGCTAGGTTCCTTCACCTTGGGAGAAGGCAGCTGGGGAAGAGAAAGCATTAATTGCACAGAAATATTTAATTTTTCTCATGTCAAAAGACAAGCGTTGAAACGATGAGGGAGAAACTTCAAAGCAAATGAAAAGGAGGAACATCTTTTTCATGCAACATGTAACAGCATTGTGAAACTGCTGCAAGGTGCGGTGGAGTCTAAAGCTACGAATGGCTTGGTGGAAGGCTTTGATGGCATCATACGGTGTGGGCTGATGGCTTCCAAATTTGAGATTAAATGTATGATTTACATTTACAATCTGCACACCCAAAGCCCTCACAGAACTGCCCTTTTTTAACCACCTCCCTGGCATCAATTGAGTTGCTTCTGCTTGCGGGGAATTTTCTTAGTTTACTTTCCTTGATGGAAAGGTCGTGACTGTCTTTGAGTGAGTCAGGGCCTGGGCATTTAATTAATTAGGTTTGAGCGTTTCTTCAAAAAAGTTACTTCTAATCATTCTTCACACTGAGGGAAGGTGGTGTTTTTGCCTGTTGGGAAGAAGTCAGAGGAAGGTTAATAGGAAAAGATTCTTTGCTTTGTAAGTGTAATTTTCATTAACTTAATGAGAATTGCATCTAGTACAGCCAGGTTATTAAACTGATTGCAAATCTTATTTTAAGACAATATTTTAGAAGTGTGCATTCAAACCAAGTGGAGACATGTGGTTAGAAAAGTTACAAACAAAGGTTAACGATCCCTGAGTACCTTGAACGCAAGTTTTAAATCCACTGCGCCTCTGGAAATTTTCTTATTACAAGTGATGTAGTTTTGGAAGCACTACAGTCCTAAAAATAGCAGTGCCTTCCTTACATGTCTTTTCTCTCTTCCCTTACCCAGGGAGTAGTGGCCACCCTTTTCCATATTTAGTAGGAGTTTGTTCCTGTGTCTTCTCAGAGCATAGGCATGTTTTTCTCATTTCTGTTACAAGGAGCAAGCAGGAGCATGGACCGTGGGCATTCGTCTCCTTCCTGGCAGTGCGCAGTGCGGTTGAGTGGACAAACCCCTACTCTCTTGACATCCTTTGCACCGTAGTTTTGAGGTTTATTTTCATTTTTTATTTTCTTCCATTGACCTTATTTTTCCCCCGCTTACCTTTAGCAGACTGCTTCCCACTGACAATTGCTTTTGGCAGAGACTTCTCGTGTTAATAGAGCCTCTATGAAAAGAAACCCATTTCTGGCAGGATGACTCATCTCCAGATCGCTACTGCATCACCTTTGTGCTGCCTCAGTCACCCTTGCAGCCCTTGCTTTACCTCGAGCACCCTTTCTCATACACCAGTTCACAGGGGGTTTCTGCGTCCTGTCAAGCCCGGAGCATCGATTTGGCTTTCTCGGGCTGGAGGTGCAGCTGGATGCCTGCCGGTGCTGCGCGTGAGTTGGGGGAGCAGGAGGGTATTCAGAAAGATGGAAATTGAGAGCTTATATTATATTAAATAGTCTTCACTTTTCTACTTTTACAAATACTTTTCTTTTACTTTCACAAATATAAACGTATGTGTTTTCTGTTTAGCTTTGCAAACATAGGAACAGTAAACAGGATGAGTTCTGTTTTTGGTATAGCACGTAACTTCGTTGCTTCAACAGGAGCCTGAATTACTTATTTGATTTCTATAGTTTATAAGAACCCCAAAAGTTTGTTTTGAAGGTGGTGTATTGGTGATGGTGCAGCTAAATCCTGGCACCCCAGACACGCAAAATGCAGTGTTTCCTGCCTTCCTGCAAGTAGAGTAATTGCTGTGGAGCAAGTGTAGTCCAGAATTAAGCATAACGTGATTTCAGATGGCTGCTGGGCTTTTTGTGTGTGTACGTATATAAATCTGGAAAGAAGTAGAAAATCTGATAGATGTGTATTTATGTTTACTGTTATCCCTCGCATCCTTTCACAGCTTGTTAGCCTAGTTGTCCAGGATTTAAATTCTTTTTGAAAATAGGATGTTCATAAATCATTTTTAAATTTGAAAAACTAGAACTTTAGGTTGCTACAGAGTCTGAACAATTTCTACACATGCAACATTTTGATACTTCATCTTTACAATTCGACGTTAATCACTGGTTTTAAATGCTCATTTAACAGCATTTATTTTGAATCGGTCACCCAGATTGCCACGTGGATATTGTAACTACCAGTATTTGCCCAGAGGGATGTACGTAAGGAACCTTTACACTGAAACCTCTTGCACTGACAGCAGCTTTTGCTGGAAAAGGCTCGTAACAGAGACTGCTGTCCATTGACCTGGGGAAGACTAAGCAGATTTATCTGCTTAATGGATGAACAAAATTAGCCCAGATTGTTTTCGGGCTGCTCTGCGCAGCTTAGGCTGCAGCCAGCATCCGGGGGGAGTTACTCTGAAACTGCTGCTCTGTAACCGTCCGTGTGGCAGAGTTTAGGGCCCTTCCCACTCATAGGTGCAGGCAGGTTGTGTGCATGAGAACGCTTTTAAAATTTTTTGTATTCTTTCTGAAATGCGCGGTGCTTTGCATCGTTTCTAAGGGAACATAAAATCACATCAATGGTTCTGCATCAGTTATACCAGACTGTTTATGAGGAATTTTGAAGATATATATACATATGTGTATATAATTTTTTTTTCTACTTGCCATTTTATCCTGATTTTTGTTTCTCTTCTGTTCTAACCCCCTTTCCCAACCTCCAGCAACCTTAGCATCCTCAGCATCCTCTTTAAAAGACAAAGCACCACTTTCATGCTTAATGTCACCCTGTTCAGCA